ACCTCACAGACAATATTTTCTTCAGGGATATTCAAAAATTCATCAACTTGCATTTTATGAAAGCATTTAGTGACACAAAGTCATGAAATTGGATTGCATTACATATTGGAAATTATCCAATCAAATCAAAAATTTGCCGATGATTTCTAAATTTATCCTAGTTACACGATGAATTTTATACATTAGTCACGTGAGGTGCATTTATGGAGGGAGTTTTCATATGAGTGGGACCGTGCAGTGCAGAGTATGGAGGGTGTGCATTTATCACAAAGTCCTGAGGTTGGGACCAAGACATAGTGTGCATTTATGGAGGATGTGTTTATGGAGGTCTGACTGTATAGGTTACTGCCGCAGCTAGGTCAAATACATAGACATTGCAGATCTGCAGGGGATAAAGTGTCACTCAATTATAAAATTTTTTTGATCAGCATTGAAAAAAAATCATGCTTTCATACACAAACTTGCTTGGTTTAATCAAATTGTTACTTGAATCATAAAAATAATAAATATATGAAAAACCTTTATTTTGATGTATTTTTTGCCAGAGTAAATAAATACCACTAAGTGATAATCTTAACATGAAGTTGGACTACCAGTTCTATAAGTTCTATAATAATATTAAATTAAGAAATTGGATAACATGCACAACTTCAATTTTTGGAGTTAATTTTTTTTACATAATAATAATAAATGCAATAGTTAAGTTCTAATTTCCAAGCTTTAAATATTAAATACATAATTTGTTTATAGAAAGTATTAACTTCAAAATTTTGCTTTTTAAATGGATTTGCAGAACAGAGCCTATTAAGGGTAAGGGGAATCACATGGTAGATTTAATAGTAAACAATGGCTTGATTTTGTGGAATAAATGAATGTCCACCATGCTAGATATAACAAGAAATATCTTGTGAATTCATGTCATATAATGAATTGATCAGCAGACTATTGTGGATTTGAATCTTGATATGGTAATATCTCTGACAGTAATATTACAATGATCTTTGTTAGAGAAATTTTGACTTTACTTTGAAGTGACAATTTTTATTTTTGGGTCTCAAGGAAGAGTTTTTGAGTACATAAGTAATTATATAATTAACAAGAAGTAAAATTTCTATTTATATTAACATGTAATGATTGATGTGACTAATGCAAAAATTGATTGACAATAAATGCTATTTATTAAGGGTAGGGGGAATCATATGGTAAATTAATAGTAAACAATGGCTCAAAAAAAATTTTTAATGTTGATCATCATAAATAATTATTAATAATAATAATAACGTAAAATAATAACTCAACATTATTAACATTAACACTTAATACTTTTGCCAATCAGTCTTAACACTTAATTAAATATTTAAATACTTTTACAAAAACTTAAACAAAAACATTTATGCTTAACAAAAACCAAAAACCAAACCTTTGCTTTCTATATTAAAG